GAGGAGAGAGAGAGAGAGAGAGAGAGAGGAGAGAGAGAGGAGAGAGAAGAGAGAGAGAGAAGAGAGAGAGAGAGAGAGAGAGAGAGAGAGAGAAGAGGAGAGAGAGAGAGAGAGAGAGAAGAGAGAGAGAGAGAGAGAGGAGGAGAGAGAGAGAGAGAGAGAGAGAGAGAGAGAGAGAGAGAGAGAGAGGAGAGAGGAGAGAGAGAAGAGAGAGAGAGAGAGAGAGAGAGGGGGAGGGGAGACGGAGAATAGGAGCACTCCAACCGCCAGTCTCGTTGCCACCGCACAGAGAAACCACTTCCGAAAAGCTTCCAACATACTGGCTGTGTTGGTGCAAGTAGTAGTAGCAGTAGTGGGCCGCTGGTGAGAAGCCTGTAACCCAGAGTGGGCTGCTTGGGCTAGCTTGCTCGTCCCCTCCTCCCACTCTCCCTCTCCTCCCCCTTCCTACCTCGAACACAGAAAACGACGTGGGGAAGCCGAGAGAGGGGGAGGGGAGAGGAAGAGGACCGTTATTGGAAAACGTTCTTGGTGGACGGCATAATCGACTTAAAGAGAAGATGGCGCTAGCAGGATATCTATTTATATGAACTACCCACTCCTAATTCCACTCTCTCTCGCCTCGCACTAATTCCTCGGGAATAATGAGGAAGGGAAAAGAACGGACACAGGAAAGAAGACGGGGGAGGGGGAGCCGAAGCAAGATGCTACGAGGCTCGTCCTCATCTTGCATTCGTGAAGTTCAACGCACTTCCACGCTGAATGGCAAGGAGGCCAAATTACATTAAAAACTCTGAGCCTTGCAAAGACCACAATGAAACACCCCACGTGCTCAGGGCTTGACCAAATCGGGCCGTGGTTGGAAGACAAGAAGGAAGGAGCGCATTTGAGGAAAGCAGGAAGGAGGAAAGGGAAGATTTTAGGACAAGTATAAGGAAATGCACGGGAATGATAGCAATGATAAAGACAAGAAAACTGTGTCCACTCCATCAGCAATAAGTAAATAAAGGAACACGTGCCGCAGCATCCAGGACAGCTGACTACTCGAGGGGTGGTGTCAGTTGTCTCCTCGGCGAATACCGTCTTGACTGAGGTTGATCAGCTGACAGTTGCCAACGTCTCGTTATATACATAAAAAAAAACGTATCGACAAGCCGGTAAACATACGAAACGCTTTGTGATTATGCGAAGAGGATTTAAAACAGCGTTCACGCGCGCCTGAATCTCGCACAGTGCCCTCTGCCCCCCTTCCCGACCCCAAAGGGTAACTGAACACCCACCCAGCCCACTCACAATTTACCCCCCCCCACGGAGAGGGGCCCGGATGCCAAGACAGCGCTAGTAGGAGCGTAGGAGTGATCATACACTCTCCTCCAGCCACCCTCTGTCCTTACCCTGTCTCATTTATGCTATGGCAGAAAGGCCAAGGTCATGCACATCTAGAGAGGGGAGAGGGGCGGGGGAGCGAAGGAGGGGTGACAGCTCCAACGATCACCACACTATACAATAATGCGATACTGCTAAGAATGCGCATAGGGGAACTGACATTAGAACAAACTTATATAAATTAAACTTTAAACAAGACCTGTAAGGAACGTGAGCACGAGCACTGAGCAGTCGGCTACACTCTAATCAAGATAAGGGACAATACAAACAACACCAGAAGCACATTCCCACGACATCACTAGCCATAACCCACCAAAAAAGAGGGAGGAAAGGGTGTGCCAAAGGAGGCGGGCGCGGGGCAGACTAGAGGAAGAAGGGCAACAGAAGGGAAACGAGAGAAGGGCAGAGGAGGGGCAGCCACCCCGTTACGGACTCGGTGTAGGGCAAGGGCGCAGGAGGAAGGGGAGCAATCGCCATTCCCTTTCCCTCTAACCCTCGACCCACGTGTCATCACCAAAACAAACAAACAAGACCCACCATTCGCTACTCTGTGGACAGGCACCGCGAGTGGCATGTCGGCCGTGGGTAAGTCGCCAATACACGAAACAGGTAAATAACCACTCGGAAGGGACTGGAGAACACCAGAGGTCATAATGTATGTCGATCGACATACCTTTCTATGCCTATATATATATATATATATATATATATATATATATATATATATTATATATATATATAATATTATATATATATAGAAGGATACATAAAAATACTATGAGGAGAAAGCAAGAATGACAGTGAATGAGAACGAAAGATAGAAACAGAATGCGAATGGGAGAGAGAGTGAGAGTGAAGGAAGGGAGGGGAGGGAGAACAGAAGAGAGGGTGGGAGGGAGAGCAAAAGAAAAAAAATGGTAGGGCCGGCCCGCGAATCAATCCGTAGGTCCACGCGCCACCCAGCAGTTCCAAACACGACCACGATGGTTCGAGGAAAGGTGGGGGGAGGGGGGGGGGGAGAGCTGCGGTGGGCGACGAAAGGGGGAGGAAGAAAGGAGGGAGGGAGAGGAGAGCAAAAGAGGACAAACAGGGATAGGATACACGCGATGAGTATTTGACGAACAATAGTGGAGGTAATAACAACGCCCGGCCATATAGGTCTCCCCCACGTCAAACGGTCCCCCAACACCCGCAAGCAGTGACAGAAGTCGATACGGCGAAGATCATGAAAAGCAGGACCGTACAAAATAACAGGAAAAAAAAATCCCTTCCCTCCCCCCCCCCCATAAAAAAATTCAACACTATGCTACACCACACTGAAACTCACTCGCTCTTGCTCTAAAACCGTTTAGGGCCATGTTCACCGTTCCCGAGCGCAAGCCGAACAAGCATCATCATTCTACTCTTCGTCGTGAACAAGCTGTCTCTGCAATCGGCAAGAAATTCAATTCAGCAACTGAGGGAAGGAGGGAGGGAGGGAGGGGGGGGAAAAGAAGGCCGGGGGAATCCATTTGCGTAATATCGGGATCAAAATAAATAGGCAACTTTGGCTGGGGGAACTAGGAGGACCTTGCTGTCTCCCACTCCCTCTCCCTCCCTCCCTCCTTCCACCGTTACCCATCCCCCAGCTTCCTTTCCACATTTTCTCTACTCGGGAAATTAATGCGAAATTGTAAAACAAGAGTATATCCATAAAAAATGACCCTGAGCTAATACGGCGAAAGCACAATTCTGGGGGGGGGGGGGAAATTTCGTTAGCCCGCCCTTCGTCAAGACACACCTCGAAAGACAACTGTACCCGGAGACACGAGCGAACGAGAGCGAGAAAAAAAAGAAAGTCATAAGAAATGCGAAGGAAAACTGTCAAAAAAGACAGCGAAAAATCCATGGCTAGATTTCACCTACGACCCCCTCCCAGGCCCTCTTCCCCTCCCTCCCTCCCGCCCCCCACGACCCCCACCTATTCCTTCGGCAGCGCACGGCATTCTCGACCTTAGCGACGTGACAAGTCCAATGATGAACACCCGCAGCATTTTGGGCCGAAGGCACTGGATTCCCCCGTTTGCAAGCCATTTCGCGTACATGCACACAGAGACAGAGGGAAGGAAGGGGAAGAAACGCCTCCTGTCCGGCTAAAACCGGGGAATAATGATTTAGGAGTAATGTAGGGCAAAGCAAAATCCCGCTGCGATTCTTCTCTTTAAGCTCGGCTGAATGTACATTTTTCGGCCTGTTTTGGCGAGGAATTTCGGGCCATAACAGCGATTTTTAGCTCTTCTCGATCCTCTAGCTGGTTACAGAGAAAACTAACGCAGCCAGGAGGAGATAGATAGAGTAGATCAAAGAGGAAAGGGGAGAAAACGAGAAGGTAAATATCACAACAACAGTCGGTCACTTTCATTCAAAACTCATGTACTTACCAGGGCGAAGAAATTGGTGTGGCAATCTTCTAAGCTTGCCCCGTTCGTCTGAGAGTGCGTAGACATCATATATCCATTTTTGACACGACACTTGGATTGGTCTCAACCCACACACTATGGATTAATCACTGAAAATCACCCGATAACCACAATCACTCCATGGATCTCACTGTAATGGCGGAGGGGAAACGAGAGGCGTTCCAACAATGCTCCGACCTCCGCTGTCAAAAGCCGTCTTTTAGCCCCATTCGAGAGATGAGTCATGGGAGACGAAATTCTGTGTCCTTGGTATTTTTTAGATTGAAACATCAAATCTAGGAATTATAATAATTGATACAACTTGGTGAAGTACTGGTTGTGTGTGCGAGTGGAAATATTTTGTAAAGAGTATGGGTGTTTGGCGGAAGAGTTCGAGCCCCAGCGGTGTGAGACTCAGCCGTTGATTGGCTGGCCGGGTTCGCTTAGAAAGTATTCAGATTTTCACGATTCTCGGATCGGTGATTTTGCGCAGCGCGGAATTCCCGTAGCCGGAGAAGAACAATTATATTCCGAAAAGCTAGAATGACACGTTGAATCTATCGAGCAGTACATGTAACTTTAAAGGAGCGAAATTAGCTGTCTATTAAACTAAAAGTTAAAGGTCGGACTTACTAACCTATCCAGATTCTAGAAAACTCGAATACACTCTAGACACTCAAACAATCCAATGCTCTGATTGGTCAATGCAGGTCACGTGACTTATCCATCATGGCCGCCTCCATAACAAAGCTTCGTCTGCTCCAATCCTCGCAAAATCTGAAAAATATCTTAAACTATAGACCGTTACCAATTTTCCAGGTAATTATATCTATTTGAGATTACTTAGAATTATTGATGATACGAGCTGTAACATTAGAATTCCGATATTGTATATGGCAGTCTGAATTTGCAAGATACTTCATACCCTTTGATTGTTTATGGAACAATTTTATAAAATTATCATCGGGAACATTGCCTTTTATCATAGCTGTCATTCAGTGTGTATTACTAGGCTTTGATCTGTGCAAGAAGCAACTCAGCGGTTTTTTCACGGTTATATAATCGGCAGCATACAAGACTAAATATCAAGAACAAATCATACCACAAAAGCCTATGTATTTTTACTTTTATGCATGACAGTACCGTCTTTGCATTTGAAATGTTACATTTATAAGCGTGTTGATATCACAAGCACATATAAGTCATAGGATATTACTCTTTATAGGGACGTGCAAGTTTCATTGTTTTTTTTTTTCATTTCTTTAACCATTGGCAAGACATTTATAACCAGACTAAAGCAAAGCCAAAATTGAAATTGAATAATACTGTAACTTTTCAGACTCATCAAGATAGTCTCATCATACGAAGTGAAATTGATAGGGGGTGAATCTGTTTTGGTTTTATTGCAACCAAAGAGGAATTCTTGACGAGGTCAAAATGCCAATTTTAATTCTGCTTCCATTGTGGTAGTTTTTCATTTTATTGTGCGTGTATTTATTTAATACAAAGAATGTATATGTACCAAAGAATATTTGTTAATTTTTTATTTATTCTTTGTTCCAAAGTGTAGTTGTATCGTCTTAAGCTGTGCACATGCACTAGTTGGTGGGGTGTAAACAAAGCTTATTCTCCAGAGTATTGAAATTACAGCATTAGAATGTGATACAGAAAAAATATTTTATAAAAAGGTAAATATCAATAAGCTGATTAGATTCTCTGTCTTTATATCTACTTCCAGCTGATTGGTAAATGAGCTGTTGAGTGGCCCTCATTAGGGTGGCCTACAGGTTGCGACTCTTTGGATGAATTGTTATGAGAGTCAAAAGGAATCACAAAGGTTTAGACACATACACGGTTCACAAGTGGATGGTTTAAAACGATTTTCCCCTTCCAAAAGATGGGTGGTACATCTTCCCAGCAATTTACCTCAAAAAAGGAACTTGTCTAAGCTCAGTATTAAAGACATGTTGCTTTTGTACAGAATTACTTTGTTTTATTTGTGCCTAGTTGCAAAATTCTTGATGATGCAGGGTGGAAATATGCATGCTTTTACCTCTCTTAAAAACATTATAACCATATTTTCAGAAATATGTTTACAGTTTATGGATGCCATTAATTGATTATTTTTTTTCTATAACATGTTATAGAGTGAAAATGATAGGTTTTTGATAGACAAAGCAAATGGTATATTGATAGCTGTTGGCACTTTGGTAGAGACCAGTAAACTCCCAACAGTTGTAGTCTAGTAAGGTGGAGTTTGTATATCCATTGTATCATGAGACAAAGAACCAGACCAAGCACTATTTTGATATTGTATTCAAGATAGAGATTTGTTGGCCTTTGTCAGAGAGTGAAGCATGTAAATCTCAGCAGTCACTTGATACTATATCATTGTCAAGTTGGACTTTAAGTTGTAGGCCTTTCGCAACAGATAACAGCAAGTTTCAAGTAGATTTTTTAAATTAGAATTATGAGAAATGAGCTTGTTTTAACCCAGAACAGGTAAGATTTTGAATAAAGTTTGGTAAGGCTGAGGTTTATTAGGGTATGTTGCTTTGGCTCTGGGCTATGGTTTGGTTCATGGCCTTGCTCTCAAGGCATCATCCCAGCTACTTAGACCTAGGCTCATGATGTGATAAGGCATCTCTAGGCATTAGTAGAATTTCTGCCATGATGGGGTTTGACATCAACCATCATGAATGGGTTAAACGTTACTACCAGTGTGAAACGTATCCATGTTGACAAATGTAGAAAAGGTATGAATGAGACTGGATATCTTCACAATACAAGAGATGTATTTGACCGGTTTCGATTACGTCTTCATCAGAAATACATGTATTTCTGATGAAGACGTAATCGAAACCGGTCAAATACATCTCTTGTATTGTGAAGATATCCAGTCTCATTCATACCTTTTCTACTACCAGTGTGTTGTGAACACTTACCAGGAATTCAGTGACTCATAAAGTGACACTTATCACATAATTATATTGGCAGTGTTCTGTCCAAATATATTGGCGACTGTTTGCATCTTTGATGGGAAGCCAGCAATCTTCCTTAACAATCTAAGAAAGGCCAAGAAGCTTTCATTAAATGAATTATAGTAAAATAAAGCCAAGAGTGGTTTCTTATATGAGGAGAAATTACGCAAAAGGTCTGAAACTATCATTCCAGAATGTATGTCTTGTTGCTTTGCCAGACCACCAGTAACACAGATACCTGTGTTACTTCCATAGGCGAATTGTCAAGATTTATTAAGTTATAAACATAGGCACAATTGACAAGTAAGAAATGTAGAAATATGAGTTAGTGTGGTCTTGACCATTGTGTCTATGGTTTGTCAAATTACTTGGTGTCAAATAAGGAATTTGTCCAAGCTCCAGGGAGAGTGAGCACTGCTTGGTACATCTATCGATATATTATGAAATAAATGACTCTTCTGTTTTCAGACTGTCTCAACTGTGTCATGAAAGAAAATGGTCATGGAATTCATTAACCCCAATCTGCCGGGCATGGCATTTACATCCATGCCATCGCCCATTGTGTGTGTTGAATTTAGTAATTGTTCTTACATATAGATGGCTCCCCAAGTACTAAGTTAACAGTGAGCCAATTATGCAAACTACCTGTCTCACCTGTTTACCCTTTTCCTTTATTTTCAACAATATTTTCTAATATTATCACTAATATTATTATAATAATTATAATGTTTATAACAAAAATAAGTGTCAATATTGATAGCATTATTAAAAAAAAAAGTTTTCCTGTTTTTTCAAGGAAATGTGAGGTCGCAAGATCTACTAATTAATTCCTTTGTGGCTAAGCATTGGCAGAGCCATCAGTATGCAGAAACATTGAACCAAGCATTGTCAAAGGGAACGCACCATTTTCCCGTTGACATTGGGTTAATATATTGATGCTTTGCAGTTACTGTAACCCTGTGACCGATAGTGTAAATTGCATTTATGCTATAGAGATTTATATAACATAGTTTCTATTATTATTATTACTATTATTATTAATATTATTATTATTATTATTATTATTATTATTTATATTATTATTATATTATATTATTATTAATTATTATTATTATTATTATTATTTTACTTTTCTAAATTAATTTTGTAAGATTATTTCATATTATGATTCCTGTGATAATCAGGATAATGTGACAGATGCAGAAATTCAAGTACTTTACATATTACATATCTGTAATTCTTGTTTTAGTTATTGGTATAATCAGTGCATTATGCATTGACTTAGATATGATAGTTACATGTTTGTCACAAGAGATGAATATGGGACGGGCTATTATTGTTGTTATTATTACTGATCATCATCAACATCATTATTATTTATGTCAGTTGAACTGGATAAGTCTTCTGATAATTTTGACTTGTGCCATTGACCAGTGGGAAAGATTATTTAATGTATGTGAGTGTTATGCCTATTTACTGATGACTTGATGTATTCATAAGGATGTACGGCACTGCTCTCGCTCTCCTGTTGTTGCTGAGGAGGATGGTCATGAACTGAAGGACCGCAGGCTTGACTTTGATGCTGCATCCTTGGCTGCCCGAGGGTAAGAGATAAAGAACTATGATAATCAAGGAAATTCTCTTTTTTATTAGTTTATCAGGTAATAACTTTTCATAGAAGGTCAGTTTGATATACAAAGTTTCTTAGTAGTACTAAGTATAATTGTTCAGTCCTTCTTTTTTTTTTTTTTTTTTTTTTAGATAAGGTATCTAATAAAAAATTATCATATCAAAATTTGCTGGCTGATTGGATTTTGTGTTTCAACACCATTAACCTTACTATAAGTTTGTAACACCATTAGTAAAAAAATATATATTATATATATATATAATATATATTATAATATATATATATATAAAGAAAAAGTTATTCCCACCAATAATGGATTGACAGGATACATGCATAACCAGGTTTAATCAAGCCATTAGGGGTATAAGCCTTCATACAGTATACATGAAATATGCTAACCATTTTTTTTCTGATATGGAAAATAAAAAAATGCAAAAAGAATTGATACTATTAAAATTGTCAATTTGTCTGAAGAGGCAGATCCCTGATTAACTCTTTTTGCACCATCAGTAGCTGTAAAACAAAAATAATATACAAAGTAAGGTTTTGACAAAGTAACATGTAGATTTGCATACAATAAAGAAAAATAATAAGTTTCAGGTACAGAACTTGTGAATATTATTGTATATAATGGCAGATAAGATCAGAATCTCTTCAAGTAACATTTACCAGAAACCTATTTTTGTGTTGCTATAGGGGAGTACATGCTAAATGAGATTATTTAATTCTTTTTGTTTCTGTAATTGTTGCCGAGAAAAGCGTAAATCTTTACTGTGCATTTCACCTCCATATTTCATTATCCATAACCAGGTATTGTGTATTTTCACTTTTTTATGATTTGAATAGAAGGTGCACTACTATTTTGTATTTCTTAAAAAAAAAAAATCTTATCCTAGGGTAAGATACTACTTTGCATTCAACACAACTTATGAAGAATAAGAGTACCTGCTTTGGTAACAGGCACTAATTTATATCATCAGTCCTCAATGAATGCTTGGGACATTTAGGCTATAGAGTAACATTAGAGGAACTTCAGTGCAAAGAGACTCTTTCCTGTGAAAGTCCATGAAAAACGAGGCTGCAAATGATTATGGATATTATGTGAACATTATAAGTATTCTGTCTATCCCATGAGTACTTTTCTAGGATTCACAAAATGTTGGCTGTTGAAAAGCTATGTGTAACTCGATAAAGAAGGTTTATTCCTCTTGGCCAATGAAGATTAACAAAGTGAATTATTATGTTACAATATATATATATATATATATTAATGTGTGCATGTATATGTGCGTGTGTGAATGAGTGAATGAATGCAAGAGTGAGTGAATAAGTGGATGGGTAAAAGATATCTACAGAGAGTTAAGTTTTCTGACTATCATGTGTTCAGAAAAACAAACAAATTCATATCCTAACCCAGGGAGCTGCAGGGATATCCTCTACAGAGAGCAGTTTCCTGAGTACTTTGAGGTTCACATTCTCATAACAGTTCCAAGAAACTTTGCTGTAAATATATAACTACAAATGTATATGTAAAAGATGTAGAAGTATTAGGCTATGAAATTTATGTTGAAATTTAGTTCCATATTTAGATATCCAGGTATACAGAAGCAGAGATAGTATCTTATCAAAGCAGCATTTCTTTTTAGTTGCTGTAAATGCTATTCTTTGTCATAGCAAGACACTTATGTATTTTGGTAATGTTCTAAGTTTTTCTATCCCCCACAATTTTTTTTATTTGATTATTATTATTTGATCTTTTTTATTATTCCAACAGGTATCTCCGCAGCCAGAAATCATATAACCCTCCGAAGGATGTAGAGACTCAAGTCCTTCAGTTGTGCGAGAAGACCTTGAATAGCACAGAACCGAAGACCACTTTTGGAGATGCAGCTACCAAGTACAAATTGCTGAGTGAATGTTCAAAAAAGCTGAAACACAAGGTCCCAAACTCCATCATGCACAAAATTAATAATATTGGTAAGAGAATATGAATGTTTTTGGTGGATAGATAATATATACGTATTGATAGAGAGAAAGAGAACAAAGAAAATATGAAATGTAAGATTTTTTGCAGGGGAGGCGAGGTTAAGGTTGTAATGGTATGGATCAGAAACTAGACAAAGAGTGTTGCATAGTGTGTGTTGAATAGCCACAAAGTTACAGTATAGTTACAGTCATCTTTAAACTGTAGATGTTGTAATGCCCAGTGAATAGCTGTTTTTGTTCACCTTTCAAATAGCTACCAAGGGTAAGGAACATTTCTTAGACACATTTTATTAAAACTTGACACTTTCTAAGAGAGGATACTGCTCACCTTACCTAACTGTCATTTTTTCTCCAGGAAACAATGAGTTTTAGATAGGAAGTTGTATTGAAAAGAATATTAATATATGGTAGATTTAGAATTTTTTTCTTCATAAGTTTGAAAAGGTAATTTCACATCAGGTTCTCATCAGTCACAGATGATGGTATGGTAAATTATTGTTTTGTAAGGGGTTGTATCAATAACTGAAGAATTACTTTCACCCTTTGGCATTGGACACATGGACTCTCCACCTTAGTTTTGGTTTGTCAGCTTTGTTTACATATAGATGGATTAACAAGTACCTAGTCCCCTAAAAAATCAATTCATAGGCCTATTGTGCCTCACCTGGTTACCCCTTTTTCCATGATTTTTTTGGATTTTTTATGCTATTTTTATCATCAAGAATTTTGTTTATCATCACCACCATCATTATTATCAATATCATCTTCATTTTATCTTTATTTTCATCATCATCATCATCTTAATAATCCCTTGGAACCATCCAGCTTATTTGTCCTCCCAGCCACAAAAAGAACATGAATTTTCAAGATTCAGCAAGATAAATTAATATTGTTTTTAGGCCTTTGAAGAGCACAGTCCTAAGCAACTAGATCATCGAATAGTAAAGAAATCATTGTAATTGTATGGTCTGTGGAGGAAGTGTGGAAAGACGAAAATATTATGGGTTTGGCGAGATTAATTATGCCACACAGCACCAAATTACTACTTCACTGCCACTATATTTCATCCACAAGAAGATAGAGGCAGTAAAGTACAAATGTGCAATTGGCTGAGGGAGACATGGACTTACAAGGGGAGTGATTGTGGATGATATCATGGGTGTGGCTGGAGAATGCATGTGTCTCATTTATTAAAGAAAAAAAAAATCTTTGAAAAAATACTGCCAACTTTTGACAAGCCGTCCATTATCATATAGAACTCTTGTAGTTTATGGTGTTTTTATACTATTATTAGCAATTTTGATAAAACTTCTTTTCTTGCAAATTCAAGGAGTAGGGTAAATAGGTGGTATCAGATTGGATTTAGTAATTGACTCCTTGTTGTGTAACCAGAAATGTTAAATTAAAATTGCAGAGGTTAGGGCATAAACTGGTTAAGTAGGTGCAAAGGATGATAGGTTCCAGGCAATATTTAGTTGAGTTCATCAATGAATCCCCGCATCCTTAAAACCTATTTACCTCCTAAACTGCAGCTTGTACAGCAACAGGTCCATTCTGTAGCCTGTGAAGCACCCATTGTCAGGCAGATATACATTTTGATTTGGCATGTTTGAGGCTAAATTTCCTCTGAGGTTAGGTGATGAACCATTTAGCTTTAGAGGATTTTAAAAATATATATAATTTTTCTATGTGTTTTTGCTAAGGAAAGGAAGAATGTTTGGTAACTTTCTTGTTGATGTATTATTATTTTGACCACATTTTAATCTATTGCCAGTGGGTACATGCACTGTCCATTGTAGTTTCGTTTTTTCAATTAAATGATTTTTATTATCAATATTATTATCATCAAAATGTTATTAGAAATTATAATAGTAATAAGAATACATAATTTCCTTTAAAAAACTCAAGAAATGGGCTAAACAGGTGAGATCATGTAGGCCTAGATTTTTCTTCTTGGTGACTAAGCTTTTCTGGACTACTTGTATTAAAATCACAATGATCTTTGTTTAGGTGCACTCCTAATATCAGTGGGAAAAATAGAATAAGGAACAGGAAAAATGTGTTTATTCCCTTCTTTCTTTTAAAATGGAAAAGTGCATAATTTTCCAGGCTTCTGCAAGAAAAAAATTGGTTGTAGGCAATCAAAGAGCTCAGTTCTACCCATCAGAACATTTGTATTTTATTGTCATAGACCAAAATACATGGGGTATTAGTAGAATGCAAAGTAAAAAAAAGTCAAAACATGTATCCCTTTCATATAGACGGTTAAATAATAATAAAATTTTATCTTATAAGATCATGAAATGTTCACAAGAAAATAGAGGCATAAGAACCTGACTGTGGGATTGGCTGAGGGAGAATAGGTCCTAGAAGGGGAGGAGTGTGTGGGGTGATTTTGTGGGTGTGGCTGAAGGAAACATGCCAGATAGTATCTTAGTAAACACTACATATGTTTCATTCATTAAAAAAAGGCTGCAGGGTGGAAATTACTGCCAGTATTTGACAGGCATTATATTATTTTGCCAAATAGGAATGGATACATTGAGCAATTAAGCATCATCATGGTGAATTGGATATTAGGGGTTAATGATGTTTTTATAGGTTAAGTGTAGATTCTGAAATTATATGAAATAGATTTTAATGAAATTCCAAGATGAAAGGAAACCCAGGGGCAAATTCTTCTCCCCATACTCTTCTGTTAAGCAGTTTACATTCCATTCTTTATGATTATTTTATTTTCAATAACATTGTTTACATGTAGATGGCTCCACAAGTTCTTAGTCACACAAAATACAATTACTGGGCCAACCTGGTCTCTTCTCTTGACCTTATTCCATAGTTTTCCAGAAAATAAAGTTTTTATGTTTGTTACCATTGTTGTTGTTAATAATGTTAAAGTGATGTCAAATCTAATGATAGTATTGAATGTAATAGTATTATTAGAAATAAAAGTTTCCTGGTGATTCAAAGTATGGGTTAATCAGATGATGTCAGGTAGGCCTTTCAATTGACTTCATGATGATATGGTGTGCTTGTGAAACCATCTGTGTGTATACAAGCTGACAGAGTAAAACTATCGTGGACTGAATTTAACTTTTAGGATTTGAGCAATGGTTTAATCTTTCTTACTTGATATTGTAATATGATGGATGAAATATAGACAGGGATTTTGGTATGTAAATAAAGTGTTTTCATAATTTACTTACTGTTTTGAATATAAAAAAGTGTGTAGTCCCTTGTGTATTTATATGATCAATGCTCAAATTTAGGAAATAGGAAAAAGTGATAGAATCATCAGTCCACTGCTTTTGAGCTCTAAGATTTTTTTTTCTTTTTTTTTTCTTTTTTTCTTTCTTGCAGAGGAACTAATGATGTTTTATAAGACACCCATTGATGTAACTGTGCCACTGGACATGATGAAGAACATGGATCTACCCAAAAACCTTCATGTCATCTACAACTACACTAGATTCCATCCGGGTATGTTTTCATTTTGCTGTTGTATCTTTTTTATGATGATTTAGGATTCTCTCTATTTCTCTCTCTTTCATTCCCTTGCTCCTACTCAATATTTCCTTTCTCCATCTCTCTCTCTCCTTTCCTCCCTCATTTCCTTCCTCCCTCCCTCACTCCTTGCCCCTCTCTCCCTCTCATCTTCCTCTCTCTCCCTCTCTCTCTGCCCCATTCTCTCTTCTCTTCTATCTCTGTCTCTCTCTTCAGTATCTTTCTATCTCTGTCTCTCTCTTTCTGTATCTTTCTATCTCTGTCTCTCTTTCTATCTCTATCTCTGTGTCTGTGTCTGTGTCTGTCTGTCTGTCTGTCTGTCTGTCTGCTTCCTGTCTGTCTGTCTGTCTCTCTCTGTCTCTCTCTCTGTCTCTCTTCTCTCTCTCTCTTCTCTCTCTCTCTCTCTCTTCTCTCTCTCTCTCTCTTCTCTCTCTCTCTCTCTCTCTCTCTCTCTCTCTCTCTTCTCTCTCTCTCTCTCTCTTCTCTCTTTCTCTCTCTCTTCTCTCTCCTCTCTCTCTCTCTCTCTCTCTCTCGTCTCTCTCCTCTTCTCTCTCTCTCCTCTCTCTCTTCTCTCTCTCTCTCTCCTCTCCTTCTCTCTTCTCCTCCTCTCTCTTCTCACTCTCCTATTCTTCTTCTCACTCTCTTCTCAGTCATCTCGTCATCTCTTCTCTTCTTCTCTTTACTTCTTCCTCTCTCATTCTCGTCTCTCTCTGTCTCTCCGTGAGCTCTCTCTCTTTTCGATCGTCTCCTTCTCTCTCTTTATTTTTTTGCTCCTGGGGTCTTCTCTTTTCTCTTCCCTTTCTTCATCATCTTTCATCATCTCCTCTCTTCTGTCCATTTTTGTTCTCTCTCTCTTCCTCCTTCTCCTTCTTCTCCTCTCCTCTTTTTTCTCTCTCTCCTTCTCTTTTTGCGTCTCATATGCTCATCTCTTTCTGGCGATCTCTCCTCGTCCGCTTGTTCTCTCTTCTCTCCTCTCCTCTTTTGCTCATGTCTCTATCTCTCCTCTCTTCTTCTCTAAATTCCTCCGTTAACTGTCGTCCTCATCTCGCTCTCTCTCACATCTGTCATCTCTCTCTCT